TGTCCGCCTGGGCCGGCCTGGCCCGTCTGCCAGCCCTGCATCCTCCCCTCCCCCATCTCCACCGGCACCCCGCCGCACCCCGCCTGGGAGGCTGACCCCTAGGGGGCCCGGCCAGCCCCTGCCTGGCAGGTTCCGAGCTGACCTCTGCTCGGCCCTGTCCTCCGGCCTTGTTGGGCCTCCCAGGGCTGATCCATGGGGCCCAGGGGGGAGAGTTGACATCAGCCTGGAGACCTGGGGGATGGGACCAGGTGGGGAGCCGCTGGACCCTGGGTGCTGAGGCAGCCAGGAGCCGGGAGGGAGATGGGCTGGCCAGACTCTGCCCTCCACAGACTGGGCCCCTTCCTGCTGCTGTAGCACCGGCCCAGCCACCTTCAGCCTGACCCCCAGGGGCCTGACCAGGGCCTGCGGCTGTGGTGGGGGGGCAGCCTGGGGGGGAGCAAGTCTGTGGCTCCCTGGGGTGGTCATGGCTGGGGGGGGCAGCCCCGCTGGAGAGCAGCGCCAGGGGCTCAAGAGCGCAGCCTTGTGCTGGTGTGGGGCCAGGCCGGGGAGACCCTCAAGTCCAGGATTCGGGGTCTCCTCCACCTGGCACGGCTGGGTCCCAGCTGGCCTGTGGCTCAGGAGCTGTGTCCATGCGTTTTGATCCCGTCCGTCCCCCAGGCCGCCCCAGGACATAAGCCTGGAGGAGTTTGACGACGAGGACCTGTCTGAGATCACAGACGACTGTGGCCTGGGCCTCAGCTACGACTCTGACCACTGCGAGAAGGTGGGGGCTGGGCGGGGCCTGGGGCCACGCTCAGACCGCAGGGGCTCGGGCCGCCCTGCTCCCTTTGCCCCCCGGTGCAAACCTCTCTAGCAGACCGTCGGCCTCTGCCGGGCCCGGGCAGCCCCGGCCCCCCAGCCAGCTAGTGGCGGGGCGGTGTGCCTCTGTGTGGGTCGCTCCCCCGGAGGCGCTTTGCCCCTCAGCCGCTGCTCAGTCCTGCCAACGGAGGGCACAGGGAACCCGCCAGGGGAGGCGCGAGGCTGGGGTGCACCCTGCGCCCTCAGGGTGGTGGTGTGCAAAAGAGGGAGTCGGGCTGGGGGCCCCTGCTGGGGGCACCCCGTGGCTGTTCCTTCGGCCACGGAGGGCGAGGCTGGGGGGCAGAGTGTGCCCCAGCATCTGGGGGAGCCCAGGCTGTGGGTCTGTTCGGCCTTGGGCCGGGATAGCCGCCAGCGCAGCAGCCCGAGTCAGGGTGAGGCCCGCTGGCAGGTGGACAGGCCGTCCAGGAGTCTGTCACCCAGGCCCGCTGGCGCTGTGTGCCCCTGGCCGACAGGAGCGGGGCCCTGCCTGCTGGGCAGGGCGGCGCTCGGCTCACTCGCCCTCTCCCCTGCAGGACAGCCTCTCCCTGGGCCGCTCGCAGCAGCCGCACCCCATCTGCTCCTTCCAGGACGACTTCCAGGAGTTTGAGATGATCGATGACAATGAGGAGGAGGACGACGATGACGAGGAGGGGGAGGAGGAGGAGGAGGAGGAGGAGGGCGACGGGGAGGGTGAGGAGGGCGGGGGCCCTGGCCCAGAGGCCCGCGTCTTGAAGGCGCTGACCCCCTCCGCCTCCCTGGAGGAGCCCCACAAGCAGCGGCCCGCCACGCTCCAGCTGACCACCCTGGGCGCCCAGGTGAGCACTCAGCCCGCACGCTGGTGCCCAGCCGGGGCCCCCAGCCCGACTCCGAGCCCCTGAGCTGAGCCGGGTTCCTCCCCTCAGGATTCCCTGAACAACAATGGAGGCTTTGCCCGGGTGCCTCCAGCCCCCTGGCAGGAGACCATGCTGTGCTCTCTGCCTGCAGAGTCCCTCCGAGGTGAGGGGCGGGGCTTGCGGGGTGGGCGGGGCTGGAGGGGAGGGGCCGTCTGGGG